AAAGATCTTCACAAACACAGATCCCACTGCAAATGTAACAAAGAGCAGAAGACAATCAGCACAACTTGTTTATTTACTCCCATGCTCAATTCTCATGGCTTAGGCTGCACAAACCTCTGAGAACCTCAAAAAGGGTGTATGCAGCTGTTCTTTATCACACCAACTTTGTCAACAGTGATGGTTTTGTTCACAAGGATGCCAGCAGAATCAGGGGTGAAGAAGATGCCTTCCAACCCCAAAAGACTGCGATCTGATCCTAAAGCAGGTACCACTTCAGCATCCTTAATACAGCAGTCCTACCTCTCGGTCTCCTTCCTAAAACTAAGTAAGCAAGGCAGCTTTTGGGCAGTGACTGGTTATTTCCAAATAAGCATTTTGAACTCAGCCTGCAAATACTCCTCCTAAAACGCCATGGGATGCTCTGTTAGCTTTAGTCATTAAAACAAGCCTTCAGCATGGGGATGGTGCTGCGCCGCTTCCCGACGCTCCCTGGATCCCTTCCACCCTGGCTGCGGCATCTCAGAGAGGTTTTGTTCCCAAGCTCAAACAAGCTGGAATCGCTCCCAAGCATTTGGAAACCTTGAGCTGAGCAGTAAGCACTCGGCATTGTGGAAATCACCTGGTGGAGGCCGCTGTAACTTCAGTTTTACGTTATGACTTCTCTTGAAACCCTCTGATTTTGAACTACATTTTTCTTTTCAGCACAAGTTCTCCCGTTGGTCTCCGGCCAGATGTGAGCTTTTGTAAGATGAAAAAATATAAATCAGTCACTTAATTTCAGCTAAAAATAGAGGGCATGGGAAAACCCCACTGATAAGAGGTTTTTAAAGCAGTCACAGGTTACCATGGGAGGGGACAAACAGCCACCCCATGTTCACATGCAAATCAGGCCCTCAAAGAACTGAGCCTTTACAGATCGATGGGGAAAGTAAGGGGAAAAGAAAGCAAATGCCATTAACACAGTTAAATATTTTAGGACGTGCTTCAAAGCGCATCCAGCAATCACTCTGCACTTCAGCAGAAGCTGGTCTGTGAGGCCAAGTCCCACCACAGAGGTCCATCAGGACACAGGGGAAACCCCACCTTTGACCTGAAAGATGGGGAAGAAACTGAAGCTCTTGGGTTCTGCAATACAAAAGAAGGCTTTCTGGAAAGTCTTGACTTTCTGAAAACACCGGCCACGACTGCCCCAACACCAGATTCACTGAAAGCACCTTGACCTGAGAAGCCACGTTTCAACACTACTTGTCCTTTGGCATGGGCTGGAAGCACATGTCAGCCCTTCAAGACAAGAGGCACAGTATAGGTAAGGAGGTAAAAACTGCCAGAGCTTGGGGAAGAAGTAGGCACCCGCTGCCCAAACAGCAAGGCCTGTCACCAGGAACTGTGCCAACACTGCTACGGACTCCTTGCACACACCTTTAGCTACTAATTCCTCTGGTTCTGCAAGCATGGACCGCATTGTCCCCTTCTGCTTCTCCAGGCTCTGTCTGCGCTCACATCCCACCTCAGTTCCAGCCACTGGCGAAGCCACACTCACAAAAACCTCTTGCACAGGCATTGAAATCTCCTGTCTGGATCAGGAAACTTCCTCTAGTCTCCACAACCAGAAAAATGCCTTCCTTTCATCTGTGCAGGTGTTTTGCATTAGCACAGAAGCACCACTGGCTGTTATCAACATCAGCACCTTCATCAGGAGGAGATGCCCCGGTTGGCCCCATTTGCCATGTTTGGGTTCAGTGCAGCGAGGAGTTTTTGTGCATTTTTATCAGGTGCTTTGCAAGGGAAACCAAGCGGAATGCTTCACCCTGGAGCGTGCCAGACGTTCCCCGAGCCCCGCTGCAGGCACAGGAGCCCAGAGCAGCGCCAGATCCCAGGGCAGAGCTCCCAAAGACAGCACCTGGGACCTAATCCCAGGTGTACAAAAGGCCGCAAGACAAAACCTGGGTCCAAACAAAAGCTGAGCAGAAAATCTATATGCTGCAGAAAGCAATGAGTAAGACTGGGTAGAAGAACACAACTACTCCTCAGCCATCTGCTAAAGCCTTGGGGTGTTCAGACAGGGTGATCTGCACATTTATTTCTGCTGTCACCAGACCCCTGCCTCAGCCATGCCCTGTCTAGGGATGAGTGGAGTGATCACCAACTCAGAAAAGGTGTGATTTGGGGGAAAAAAACCACACCTCAGTTAACCATCCCAACCCAGGTAAGCACCAGGGAGAGGCTTCAAGTCCCCCCACACAAGTGTATGCACAAAACAGATGGAAAGATCCCAGTGCTCAGCCCAAAGCATTTCTCCTGGCTTGTCTGCAATACGAAAGCCTGAGAAATGCCAGGGGCCTGCTCTGCCACCAGCTTAATTCCAAGAGCTTCCCACTGTCTGGGTGTTTAGGTGTTGCATATCCCCTCTCTCTTCCTCCTCCACCCTTTCCAGCATGCAGGCACCCAAAAGGAGATCGCCCACTGTGGCACAAGAATGTTGCACAAGCTGTGACTCTCCTCTGGTTATCCCTTATCTATCCCTGAGCCCTGATAAAAACCCACCTATGACCTCCTGCTCCTTTTTATTTATATTATTTTTTACCTTTGAAACCAGACTAGCTCAGCTCTCCAGATCCTAAAAGGGAGCTGCAAAAAGCCCAGCCCCACACCTGCTAGAAATGCCACAACTTTGGCATTTTGCTTGGAAACGGGTGCACACAAAAGCCAACAGTGTAAGCAAAACCAAACAGCGCCAGAGAAGTTTCTCCAGTCCTCTCCCAACCAAGTCTGCTATTCTTGGGCACCGTCAAACTGAAGGAATCTTCCCTCTCCCTCTCCTGACAATACGTTATTTGTACATGTTTACGCTGAGGATTAAATCCCCATCCGGGCTGGAGAGCGTGGTTCATTCACAGCTTCTGCTCCTCAGCGGTGCTTCCTCCGAGCTGCCTTTCCAGGGCTGTTTTGCAGCTCCCTGGACGGAGAAGGCGGCCCACGGCCAGAACCTGCGGGTACAATCCGGTACAGCAGCTGGCAAGCCTGGGAAATCACTTAGTTCATGACTGCAAGGACTTGGTTTCAGCCGGACAAACATTTTCTCCGCGTTGACCAACGCACGACTCTCTGTACGACTCTGCCCTCCTGCAAAGCGTCAGCTCTCTCCTTATCTCTCCATCAGGACTCACAGGGGCCGTTTTTCCTACCCCAGGGCACTGGATGAGGCCAAGCAGACGCCCAACCAGGTAACTCCCTGAGAGCTCCCACTACGGGAAGGGGAACCCAGAGAGGTTCACACTACCAGCCAGGACAGTGCCCAAAACCCCAAGCGACTGCACGCACTGTTCTCCTGGTGAAATACCCAATTTCTCCCTCAAAAACGCTCAGTGGAGTTTCATTTCCCCGCCAGCAGGCTTGAATAACATTTTAAATGCCAAGATTTATATGCAGACACTTATAAATGTGTTCCATTATAGCCTCTGCAAAACTACATTTCAACCTAAACATTCAATTAATGTAATTAAATTGCTACCTGGTGGTATTATCTAATTTCACTTCGGATCTGTGCTATTGAAAAGCATGTGTCTTTTAGCACTCCGACTGGCAAGACATGTGATAAACAGACCTATAAACATGTTGGCTCAACCGAGCTGTTTAAAAATAAATTAGCAAACTATAAAAATAAACAGTAACATACATATGTACTCAATTATGAACTAACTCTAATTTTTGTTCTGAAATACTGTCTTTGACCTTAGTCATAAACAAGCACTATTAAAAAAACATAATATCTCAACAGACAGAAGGGCAGGGATTAAACGCTCGTCGCGCGCGGCGGAATGCAAAATAAGGGATGAAAAGAAAGAAGAAAAGAAAGAAAAAGGGGGGTGGAAAAAAGCTCACCCTTTATTAAATGCAGCAACCTATACCCACCGCAAGCATTTATGCTGATTAGAGCTGTTTGGATTCAAGACAAAAAACTTAAAGCCTACAGAAGTGCCTATGGTTAAAAACTTTGTAAGGTTCAGGGGGAGGAAAATATCGTTTTAGCTTGTGTGGGAGGGAGGGCAGTGTGGGTCCCACAGAGCCACCCGTGGCCTTTGGCTGTCCAGGTGCAAACCCTGCTACTGTCTTGCAAGAATTCAGCGAGCCTCAAGAACATGTGGCAGAAAGGTAGGAACCACCACACCAGAGCAGAGGGGGAAAAACAAACAAACAAACAGATGTTTTTGAAGACTGTAGAGGAGCGTCCAGACCACGTTTTTGCCATTAATTCAGCGCTCCCGTAAGAAAAGAACGAGGCATCATGCTATGACTGTCAGCACTGTTCTGTTTTCTCTGGGAAGAAAGGCAGGAAAGGAGGAAGGATGAAATGCTGATGCACAAAAGGCACATTTTGCACCCAGGGATATTTTCAAGGCTTTCAGGCTACACAGCAGGCACCAACGTCCCTCCCTGTGCCCACACGTGCACCCATGTGTAAAACCTCACGAGAGACCCAAAATCAACAGCAAAAGCAGTTAAGCAACTGCTAAGCTCAATCGTGGAGAATCAGCCTAAGACACCGTCGGGCTGTCTCCCCAAAAACACTTATATAAATAAACAATAGGAGGCAACTCGTGTTCATCAACACATGGGCACAAAAACCAGGCAGAGAGAGGCGGGTGGAAGAAAGGCTTTGCCCCAGGCCAGCTCCTCGCCAGCAGGGAGTCACGTAGACTCAGCCCCGCAGTCAGTAACGAGGCAGGGTCTGACATTTCCACGAACAAGAAGGGCTGCCAGTTGCTGAGACACAAACAAAACACTCACAAGGCGTGTTTTTTCAAGGGATGCGACAGGAAGGGCCCACAGGAGATGGTGACAGCAGGCACCTTTTTTTTAATCTTTGTTTTCCCAAGGACCTCCTCAGCAGCAGGAAGCAGGATGCCAGAGAGCTCCATGCACTGGTGGAAACACCAACTGGATGGTAAAGGAGGGTGGAAATGGACTGCCAGGGCTGTGCCAGGTCTCAGGAAGACCACACAGCTTAAGAAGTGTGGGAGTCACTTCCAGCCACCAGAGCTGGCACACGCTGCTGCTTGGTGGGGAGCAGCAATGGCCTCTCCTCTACAGTCCTCAATGCTCAACAAATCCAAAAGGATTCCCCTTAATTTCTGGAGCAAATATTTGCCGGTTCCTAAACCCCTTTGGTTTTTTCCTATTTTTTCTTTTTTTTTTTGTTTTTATTCTGCAAATAAATGTCTGCCATTCCCTCAAGCAACTGCTGGACGCTGCTGCTCAGGAATGACCATCAATGATCAGCCAAATATCAACCAGCAGAGCAGCAGTGCAACCCAGAGCTGCTGTCAGTGTGGTGATTTTACATCTCATACACCTGGACACACCAGCCCCTTCCTGGATGTTACAGTCATGTCTCAGTCCACACCACAGCTATCCCCTCACTCTTCTTTCAGAGTTAGGTCTCTCTCACACATTATAAGAGCAAAACAAGAATAATAACAGGTCCTGTCTGGACTATCCGCTCCCTTCTGCTTTCTCTGGCAAAAGCCTTGTACTTGAAGCCATGTCCCAAAGCACCTCCCCAGCCCAGAGTGCACCCTGACCAAGAAGATACAACAATTAAAAACTGCAATTAAAGCAACACTCCAGTTTGAAAATGAACACCATTTTCTGCCCATCCTCCCTGCTCTGTTACCAATAAAACACTTACAGACACTATTCATGCAGACATAAAGTGCTAATGGCTACCTGTTAACGTGTTTCATCATGCCAACATTTTTGCTCTGATTTTGACAGTTCCCTTTTTGTTATTTTAAGCTAAGGGAGCACTAATCTGGGTTGGAACTGAAGGCTGCAAGAATTACAATCTACAGCAACTGCACAACTAATGACACCATTTCCTTCCACTCTGCACCATTTCATGGACAGTTTTCTTGCAGCCAAGCTCCTTTCCAGACTATAAGGAGTTGGAAGTGCAGGAGCATAGAAGTAGGGTGGGAAGATTGTAAGATGTTGCTAAGAAATCCCATGAATTCTTGGCCTGGCCCTGTGTGTTTGGGGGCCAATGGGGGGGAAGAGAGCAATGTGAACACCAAAATCAAACATACCGGGAAAGTCACTTTAAATGGCTTAAGGAGAAAAAAAATTAAGTGGCCGTTCTTATATGACTTCAGGGATGTGTCTTCAGGGCTAGAACAACTGCTGGTGCAAATTGGCCATGTGATTTACACCTCAAGGGCTGCCCTAGGTTTGACTACAGGTGGTTCACCAGCTCTTCTGGATGTGGAAAGAACAAAACTCCCTGGGTATCACCTCAGCAGTCGCTGACTCCCGCTGGACATTTGGACAGGTACCTAATGCCTGGTGTCCTCCACACTCAAAAATGTGCTGGGCATGTCTCTGCGTGCCCCACATGAGCACACACTGAGAATACACCTACTGACATCCACGGTGTTACAGCAGGTGAAAATCTGCTTGTGTGGAAGAAGAGCCTGGTCCTCTGTGATTACCAACAGCACGGGTCAGAGCCATGATCTGATTTTCCACAGAGCAGGAGAAGAGCAGAAGCTCTCTGGTCTCCAGAGCAGTTGCAGCCCTGCAGAGATACCCAGCGGCTTTGAGCATACACAGAGGGATAATTCCTTTCCCCAGCTTTGCAATTGTTTGTTAGAGCAAATTAAGATTGCTAACAAGTCTTACTGGAGCCCATTGCAAGGAGGTTAAGAAACACGACTTATCTGATGCAATCAGCAATGTAATGCAACCTCCCAAGCCCCAGTTCAGGCAAAATATATGCAAGTAACCAAAAGGGATGGGCATAACCTTGAGGGAAGAGTTGGGGATGCTCCAATCCAACCTGCAGTGCCAGAGAGGAAAGACAAGAGAGCACAGCATGGAACAGAGAATTCCCTGCCTGCTTTGTGTCTTTTGCTGCTTCCAAGGACTCCCACTCTGTTCAGGCCAGAAAGAGGACACCGGTTTGGAAGGATCTCTGGTCTGACTCAACATGGGTAGTTTTTAATTTTTTATGAAAGAGACTGCTCTGCAGTACAAGGTGAGGAAGACCTTTATTTGTTGGGCTGAAAGGTAAACATGGTTGAAAGGTAAACATTCACCTCCTAAGCCTTCTCGTTTGATTGCAGCATCACAACAGGTTGAGGCTGCCTCATCTGCAGACCCCTTACGCTCCGGGGATCCTGACCATGATGCTCCCAGGACCCTGACCATGATGCTCCCAGGATCCTGACCATGATGCTCCCAGGATCCTGATCATGACAGGTGAGCGTGGGTTCCCATGGGAGTCCTTTGCCAGAGGGTGTTTACTTACAGCGAGTCCCGGTGTGGAGCACCAAGCCTTGCTGTGCCCACCTGGCAAGAGGGATGGGAGGACTGTATGCCCACACGGGGAAGTTTCCACCACAAACCCAGTCGGGAGGCTTGAAAGGCGGGAGAGCAGATAGTATTTTCGAGGGAGTATGAGATAAGAGGAGGTGGAGTTTCCCCGATAAAGAGGATTTCCCTGCTCAAATATCAAAGGATTCACACTAAGAAAAGGGGGGAGAAGGGGAATTACATCAGTCTGAGGCACACTTTCTCTTTTAAACTCTGACCTTCTATTGTCTGTCTTCTTGACTAGGATTTAAAAGCCCTTTGTTGGGCTGTGTTACATGGTGTGATCTAGAAAGCCGTCACAGCCGAGGCACCGTGGGCTTTCGGCTGCGCCGACGCTCGGGCTCCCCCCTTGCCTACACTGGACTTTGAGAAGGCGTTGAGCCAGCTCAGATAAGTCAGCACTTTCTATCAACACCCCTTCCAAGCCAAGCTGCACATTGCGACGCCTCTTCCAGCACGGGCTGGTGGAGCTGGGCTTCACCCTGGCACAGCTCCCAGACAAAAGGTGGGCTGCTCCACCATGCTGCTCCAGCATGCTGGCCCACTCTCAGCTCCCCCCAGGTCCTCTCCTGGCAGCGTCCTTCCCATCCCAAACACAAACAAATGGGTGAGGAGCAGGTGACAGAAGCGTAACAGATGCCTAAAATGGTTTAGAGTGATCTACGAGCATCTTTTGGTTGTAATGTTCCATTAATGTGACATTTATGTGGGGTAATATAATACCGCTCACTTAGGAGCACCTACACCAGCCAGTCAGGTTTCTGTGTGCACAAAGGATGATGGGGATAACTGGGAGGGTTCTCGCATGGCCAGAGACCCTACAGATGGAGTTACAGGGGACAGGAGGCACCACTGCTCAAAAGGGACATGCTGGGTCTCTCCCTGAGGGAATGGAGGACAGAGCAATGTCTCAGGAGGCAGAACGAGAGAGCCACAAATGGGGAAAAAACCTGGCTTGAACCTATGGAGCTGAACAGTCCCTCTCTGCAGAATGGGAAACACAATATCTAAGGAAGGTCTGCCCCAGTCCAAAGGCACAGCCTTGCTGTCATCTCCATGCATCCATCTGATTTCACAGCATGCAGTGTTACACTCTGTAGCTAAATCCACCTCTAATGTCACACGGGCCTTATAAGGGCTCCTGTTTTGTTACCCTGATTTATAAACACCACTGCAGTGGGCTGGAGAAGGGATGGCCTCGCAACCGCAAGCCTTCGTTATCCCCCACAAATGACTTGTTTGCAGCTCTTGAACTGCCTAATTTATTTTGCCCCTATGTTTTGGCCATCCATCTAGTCTTTTCCTAATGGTGCTCCGAACGCTGACACTTTGGGAAACGTCTAAAATGCTGTAACCCTTACATGGCCCCGCAGAGGTGAAAGGACCAAGGGCAACCGCTGAATCTTCCCAGAACAACAGAGGGATCATCCATCTCCTCTTCCCTCCTCCCCGCCCACCACTCCACCCCAGGCACTGTTCTCATCTCAATGTGCTTGAGCAAAGCACAAAACCAGGCGAGATGTGGCCACCTCAGCACCTCTGGATGTCGAAGGCCACAGACTGTACCCGGTGACCTGGAAGGTGTCCCCCTCTCCAGACATTTGCTCCTACAGCTCTGCCTCTAAGAAAAACCATCAGAGAAAAAAATCACAAGGTCGGTTGAGTTTGGGCTGTGGCAATGCCATTTGGAGAAGAAGGGGGAAAATCAATAGGTACAGTCTGCATTTCAGGCAAATGGGGAAGGAATTTAAATCAAAATCGAGTCTGATCAAAAACTCAAGTCAACAGAAAGAGTTCCACGGATTTGGCACCAGGTTTCATCATTTAGGTGCTCACTGAGTAAAAAATGAACAATCAGCACTTTGGAATAAATGCAACAAGTATCACAGGGTGTTGTCACCAGCCTTTTGTGGGACACCCACGAATCCAGAAGAGGCATCTAGTGTCACAGGGAAAATGCTGAGGACACAGAAAGTGTCACCGAAGGACAGGCAGAACAAACACAGAACAAACTCCTACCAACAGATTAAATTCACGTCGCGGTATTTTACCCGCATTTTGCACTAGTCAGATACCTTGAAATATGTGCACGCAACCAGAGCCACGACACCAGACCTTTAAAGACCTGAGAGCCGCAGATTAAAAACATGTTGGAACGCTTACCGTGTCCAGTGCCAAAAATGTGTCTCTAACCTGTAGGAAGAAATGGGTGTGGAGCCGCTCACAGAACGATCGCTGCACTCACACGGCAGGGTACAACGTCCCCCTCTTTGTTTCTCCCTTGTGAGAAAAAACAGCGACTAAAATATGACCGAGGAGCTGCCTCAGCTCCCCAAATTTTTTGAGAAGTACACAGACTCGGACGGGAAAACGAGGTGGGAATTAGAGAAATCCCACGTAATTCACAAAGACTAAAGCCACTTTGCCACGGACCAACATGAACCACTGATCTCAGCGCTCAGTTGGTGCTTGCTGCTTCTTTTTGGGGACTTCAGTCAGCTCCTGCATGGCACTGAAGCGCTGTGAGTAGATACAAAAACATACACAAAGCCTAAAAGTATTTCATTGGAATTGAAGCTCAATTTACAGCTCCCGAGACTCAAGGGTGTGTTTGAACAGCTCTTTGTTGCAGGGTTTTGTCAAGGTATGTTCTGACTTGTCCCCTGCCTGGTTGTGCAGTAATTCTTGATACTGATAGTCAATTACTTTGTTCACGTCACTCAAACACAGGCTTTTTTTCCCCCTTTCTTTCTCTCTCTCTCTCGGCACGGCTAATCCGGGAAAGACAACACAGAGCTAAACCACTGCTGCCAAAGGCATGAACTCCTGGCCAGTTGGGGTGGTGCTGCCCTCCAGCCCTGCCAGCACAGGTAGCAAAGTGACCTCCGGAGCAAAGAGCCCTCCTTATCTCTCTTAAAATACCAGTGGGCCCAGGCTCTGAAACTTCCTTCCCAACGGGATAAGCACTTACCCAGGTAATCTCATTACAGCCATTGTTCTCTGAAGGTTAATAAATACTTACCATGATGAGTAAAGGCTCCGCAATCTGACCCCAAAAGCAGCAGAAGTGATTGCTTAGGGCCAAATTTTCACTCTTATTATGCTGAACACCATATTCCTCTGCGAGCAGAGCAGCGTTAGCACCAAAATAAATGTGACTGCTTGCAAATAAGGTGTTGGCCCCACTTCTGGCCTCAAGTTTTTATGTTGCCATCACTGTGAGAGCTCTGAAAATTAGCAGATGCTGCCAGTTCTTAATAAATACATGACTAAATTATTCTGAAACAACAGAAAAAACAAACTATGGAAAGAATAAAATTCAAGGAGACGCCTTTCTCTCCAATTTCAACATGCGGAAGAAAATAATTACAGGTTTTTGTTAATTTAAGGAAACACTTTTTCTCCCATCAGACATGAGGTGTGAATTATGCAAAAAAAGATTTGAACTTGACAGGGTTTACATACTGCAGCCCCAACAACTAATTTAAATTTGAGAGTTACAGAATGAAAAACCAGGTTTCCAAGAGCTTCTTAGAAAGAGCAGCAGCCACCACCTTCCACAAAGCCAGGCCAACATACATCAAGGTGGAGAGCAGCACAATCAGCACTCTATAAAATCCTGCTCCTAACTCCCAGACTCCCAAAATACAATGGACGAGGAGGGCTTTCCATACAAACAACATACATTTCAAAGCAACAGCACCAGGGGTCAGTGGGGATGATTAAAACACATTATCCACTTATTGCAAAACATCTACTGGCAAAAGGTGCCCAGAAATCCATATGAAACCTCCATCTTGCCACAACACTAAACAAAACTCTAAATAAGATGAGCAGATAACTATTTTTCAATGGAGGCTGTCAAGCTGTTGCACAGTCATTAATAATTTAAACTTCACCCCCTTCATAGGAGCTCCATTTCCTAATTTGTGTAGGACATAAACCAGATTTTCCATTTGATTTCCCAACAGAAAATTCAGAGGGAAAAACTGCACTGAAATAAAATAAAAGATGTTTAGATTTTGGTTTGGTGGCCAAAAGTTTTCTAATTTCTTTTTTTTTTTTTTTTTGGACAAAGCTGTACCTAAACTCATCCAATCACACTTTCCAGCAAATATATTACCCGCCCAAAAAAGGTTCTCATTTTTCAGATGAACGCACCACCACGTGCTGAAATTGAGACAGAAACCTCCCCCTGCAACTAAACAAATACCTCGCCAAGCTGAATTATTTGTGACTCTCCCCAAGGTCCCCCAGGGAATGAGGAGAAAGTGCCAGGACCAAAACTTGGCCGGACTCGCTGCGTGTCCCTGCGGGCTGCTCGAGGAGGTCTCCAACTTGCCAAGAGCTGCAAGGGGCAATCAGCCTCCCACGCCAAGGCTGCGTCACCGCCCCGTCCCTTCTCCCACCACTGTCCCCACCTCATTCGGAAAGGTGGCAAATTTAACATCATAACTAAGTCTCATATCGACCAAACCCAAAAGCGAGGCTGGGCAGAGAAACCCAAGAGGTGTTTCTGCTTTGCCCTTGGCTCTGGAGCCTCCAAGCCCACACAGCACCTGTGCATGCTCCCCCTGAAATGCACCCTGTACCCAAAACCACAGCTGCAGGGAACTCTCCCACGCCAGGAGGCAAATAAATGGGAAGAACAGTGATGAACAGGGTGCAGGACTGAAAGGAAAGCAGGACGGCCTGCCAGAGCTGCACACCAGTCGGTGCCAGGTTATGCAGGAAAAATGGCATTTCTTATGCCAGTCATTGACCCCAGAGCCATAAGAAAAGACACCAATAAATTCAAGAGACCCAGACGTCACCTTTTGTAACATCTGCTAGTTCCACCCAGGCTGACTCAACACGTGTGGAGTGGCTGCTCCCCCCATCTTTGGGCCAACCTTGCCCCCCTGCCCCACAAATCCCACCGCCTCAGGTTTTGGGGACAATGCCTCATTTCAGGAGGGCAAAGCACCAGCTGCCCCGGAACAGTGTCGTCCTAGTGAAGAGAAAAATAATCTCTTGACACAAACAACCTTGCTGACTCCTGCCCTTCTCTTCTCGAGGAAGGTTATTGAGGAAGCAGCTTTGGAGCAGGGCCAGCTGTGTCTTGATCTTGCGAGGTGTCTTTGATCCCTATCAATCTAACTTTAAAGACAGAGGTGATATTAGATCCGATGTCTAAGAATGACCTTCAAGCAGCAGTTGAAGACCTCAGGGAAAGGTCTTCAACCAGATTTTTCCACCCATAGCTGGCTCAGAAGAACTCTGTCTCCAACACCGACCTTGTTTTTGAACTCCTTTGCCCCCCATCTCCACTTGGGATGACCATCCCTCGTGCCACTCACCGGCAGTGACATTTGGTAATTAAGTCAGTTGCATCTCTGCCAAAATTCTGGGCCTAGCCTTGACCTGGTCTGCTTTTAGGGCAGAATAAACTTGTGGAGAACCATCTTGCAGGCCTGCTGCTTTTCAGCCAAACATGAGTAAGACAAAAACATGCCCAGCAGCAAAAAGAATGGATTGCACCAACAGACTCATCAATAAGTAAATAATATTTATCACGGGCTCTGCACTAGAGCGTTTGGACAGACACAAAGATAAGCACCAGTTTGGTGCCTGCGCTTGCCAGCTGGTCACATCCAAATGCTCTCCATCTCAACACACTTTGGCTGGTAGGGACACGGCCCCCCCACTGAGCTGGGGATGCAGGTGCTCACGCTCCAAGGGATGGTGCTTTAGGTACCTGCTACCCAAAGGATCGGCTGCACGTCGAGACCCTCCAAGCCCAAGGCGCCGGGGCAAGACCAGCCAGTGCTCTCCACATTCTCCAGTGCCAGATTACATTTCCACGGCAGCTGCTCCTTTTGTCTACACCCAGCAAAAGCCAAACCAGCCTAAAACTTAATTTAATCTGCCGTAAACCCAAGTGTCAAGCACTTAGATGGCAGCTAAAAGCGCCACTCTCAGATAACCGAGTGACACCGGCTAATAATAGCCTGCGCATTAGGGGAGAGGGAGCGGACATTTTGTGTAACCAAAGAGGAACCTGTGCCTGGGAACAGCCCGGGGTGCCCGGTCTCAGCCCCGCCAGCAGCACACTCCACTGTGCACCCGAGCCCACCCGGCCTCTCCCGTGATTAGCTGCACTAATACCACCAGTGACCTCTCTTTCAAGCTCGGAGGCTACAATAGTCCTGGCTTTTGTTAGCGGGGAGAACAAAATGCCACCTTTTACAGCTCTGCAATCATAGCTGCTTCCCTTTTCATCTCCCAGGGGCACAGCACCAGACCCTGCTCACCGGGGAGGCGGGTTAACCCTTGCCAGGCAGCCGGGCCACACTGAGGAGGGAGGGGTGGCAGGGTCCACACGCTCTGCTTCTCCCACATCTCTTCATTTGCACGGAAAACACCAAAGAAGCCCTTTCTGGTGGAGGATGCACGTGTGCAAGAGGGCTCTTCTATGCCAGATGTTGCCGTAGGCAGTAAGTACCTGGTGGCCACTTCAAGCCACGGTGGTGCATCAGTAGGTCACCAAAATCCATGCTGAGCTCTCCCACCTCACCCTGTCCTTGGGAACTACCCTAACGAGTAAAACACACCCACCAACCAGGCACTGGTTTAACTTAGGTGACCTTCTTTTGTCCAATCTTAAGAGCAGTTCAGAAGCAAAGGAGACCACGTTTTCCAGAGCAGCGCTTCCCAAAGCTGCCAGGGGCTTAGCAACTCTCCCAGCAGAAACACCAAAGCCATGTCTCACAGAAGGGATGTGGCACAAGGTGCTGGTGTGTCCGTGGATTTGGGTTTGCATGCAAAGTTCTTCCCAAAAGAGGGGGATGGATGCTCAGAGGTGCTCGCTGGAGCAACGCTTGCTCAGGACCTGGAAAAGACCAGCCCTCATCCACTTTGGGATTCCTGAGGGAGCAGGGCACCTCATCCACCCCCGCCATGCCTCCCTCTCTCCTTCTTCCCAACAAGGGCTACAAGGAGCAGGGGGAGCTTTCTCCTGGGGCGTGCAAGGGTCTTGGATGCACAGCTGACTGCACGTGTCAGTTATGCTCCAAATGGGTTGTCACAGGTCAAGGTTCTGCAGGCAGCAAGAGCAAATGCTATTTTTAGACGGGATAAGGTCACGGTGCTTTTAGAGACAGTGAGGTCTACAATAAAACCTATTGATCAGTCTCTGGAACTAGCGCTCCGGAGAGACGCCTAAATTGAAACAAAAATTGCCTGGCCGTTTTCTCTATAGACTCGGTGGGTAAAAGCTTGTTGGACCCTTTCAGGAGATAAAATAAGTAAGAAGAACCCGCGTACAGACCACAGTTGTCCATTTAGGCGGATGCATAGAAGGGGAAAAAAGGGAAAGTGAGACCTATGGGAGAGACCAGTGAGAAGCTTCAAGGATATGTCTGTCGTGGTGACAAGCCAGACACCTCAAGGGTAAAGGCCATCCTTGCCATGCCCTGACTCCCACCTCTGCAGCCCACCTGCTCCAGGTGTAAAGGCACTTTACACCTGGCAAAGGCACAGCAAACTTGATTTTTAAGAGAATTAATGCTTTACTTGAATCTTGGAGGGTAAGGGTGCCTCTGAAGACATTCATCACTGAGGTCCCTGACAGCACACACGCATACACCACCCCTGGAAGTGTTCAAGGCCAGGCTGGATGGGGCTTTGAGCAACCTGGTCTAGTGGAAGATAATCCTGCCAAAGGCAGGGGATTGGAACCAGAGTTTTAAGGTCCCTTCCAACCCAAACCACTCTATGAGTCTATGATTCTATTTGGCTGTTTGTGCTTTGGTGATGAAGACTACCCAGCTGACACTTGGAAGCCCAAGGATGAAAATCAGAACCAACCTTTCAGCCAGGTAAATTATGTCACTGGGTGGTTCACTTGCAATTGGTTTTCACAGCAAATTCCAAGTGTTTATCCAGGTCACATAAGAGCTTTAACCAAAAATACCAAAGCACTGGACTATCACACCTCCAAGCTCAGTCACAGACCTAAAGCTTTAAGCCCACTACAGGCACGTAAATACCCCTCCAACACAAGAAGCTCTTGATTGTGTTGGAGACCTGGGACCACAGGGACAAGTGTGAAACAGTGGAGTATCTTCATCTGTCATCTGCCCCACTCCCACAGCCTGGCTCACAAACAAAACATGCCACAGTAAACATAATCCATACATCACACCCTGACACCAGTGACCCCATTAGCGAGCCCAGCCTGTCCCACCCCCCCAGACATCAGCAATATAACGACCGATGCATTGGGAGGGTATAATAATAATAATAATTGACAAATACTACTAAGCTGTGGAAAGCTACTAGTGGATGGTGGCATACATAGTTTTTACTTTTTACTCCAGACAATAACAACATGAGCAGAGAGACACACTCAGCTGCTCAGGTGAGAGCAGATCGTGTGGGAATTACAGCACTCACAAGCCTGCGGCGTGGCTTGCTCACCATTCCACTGCCAGGTTAGGCTGCAGTTTAAGTTTCTGCATAAAAGATATGACAGGACGCAAAATCTCAAGCAGAGTTATCTGTACAGCGACTGCTGCAGAGGAATCACAATAAAAACCACGTTTCACAGAGGAATCACAATAAAAACCTTGTTTCAAAGCAGTACAGTAATTGTGATTCAGGGAAAAAAAAGGAAAAAAAAAAACAAAAGAGAGGCTGATCTTTCCAAAAAATATACTGCCGCTAAAAAAGCCGAGGTAATTATTCTTCTATTTTGGAAATCAGGCTTGGGTTTTGTTTGGTTTCTTTATATAAAGGTCCTTAAGCTCCTACCAACACTTTTATGATTTTCTTCCTAGTGCCCTGTGACTCTAGGACAAAGTTTGAGATAAAACGATTATAATAAATAAGGACAAAGTTACTCGGGAATTAAGGACACTGCTGCAGCCCCTCATCTTCTTAACTGATTAAATGAATGGAGCTTTAGTGGAATATATGTCTGAGAAAATTCAAAGCTA